GATGATTTACCTTTGTCAGATCCTATTTTATACCGTACTATTGTTGGGAGCTTGATATATCTCACTATTACTCGTCCAGATATTGCATATGTTGTTCATGTTGTTAGTCAGTTTGTTGCTTCTCCTACTATAGTTCATTGGGCAGCGATTCTTCGTATTTTAAGGTATCTTCGGGGTACAGTCTTTCAGAGCCTTTTACTTCCATCCATCTCTTTCTTGGAGCTGTGCGCATACTCTGATGCTGATCATAGCAGTGATCCCACAGAACACAAATCTGTTACTGATTTCTGTATTTTTTTGGGTGATTCTCTTATTTTTTGGAAGAGCAAGAAACAATCTATTATTTCTCAATCTTCAACCGAAGCAGAATATCGTGCTATGACATCTACTACCAAAGAAATTGTTTGGTTACGTTGGTTACTTCTCTTTCTCATCCCACTCCTATATATTGTGACAACCGGAGTTCTATTCAGATTGCTCGCAACTCAGTTTTTCATGAACGAACTAAGCACATTGAGATTGATTATCACCTTACTTATCATCATATCAAGCATGACACCATTACTTTGCCCTTTGTTTCTTCTTCTTTGCAGATTGCAGATTTCTTTACCATGTCGCATTCTATTTCCCGTTTTCGTTTTCTAGTTGGCAAACTCTCGATGCTTATCGCTGCTGCATCGTGAGTTTGAGGGGAGATGTTAAGAAATATAAGATTATTTTATTTATTAAGGGTAGAACAGTCCTTTACTTCATTGCCTTGTTTAGCTTATATATAGTCTCTTTATATGTAGGTTAAATTACTTTCTTGTATTTAATTGAATTATGCAGTATCAATAAAATCATAACCTCCTCTTTTCTTATCTCTTGTATTTCTTTAGATTGTTCAACAACTATGACCTTTAGATTGACTACGAGTTCTATCAAACATTAAAACTTGATGTTGATCTAATAGTTTCACTGAAACCACATCATTGTGTTAACAAATTAAGTCAAAATTTTAAATTCAAATAAAATTTTTCATTTTTGGGTATTCATTGGAGCTTTCCTTCATTTTGAGGGGGTAGTGATACACCTGTGTGAGTGTTGTCAATTTGAACGGCTAATAAGAACTGGCTCATTGGGTAGTTGTACAACATTTTTCACTGTTTTGTTCTCATTTTAACTTGATTGACCAGTGAACGTGGAGGTTAGGAGTTGACCTAATAATTATCATCCTATTGTTGAATTTTAAGTTCTCAAATTTGAACCTCGTCATCTTTCTCCTCAAGCATAATATAAAAAAAAAAAAAAAAACCACTTAACCTGTGGTGTAGCAACTTCAATGGCTTATGACTTTGGGCAATGGACTTCTGCTGCCCACTTCTTTGGCCCATTGATGATGGATATGTAGTCTCTGTTCTGCACATAGGGGAGGTTCTGTTCCTGCTTCTGGCTCCTTTATTGGGGTCTCAGTCCCACGCAGTAGAATATCCTATAGACCACGAAAGCTGGAATTGGGCCCCCAAAATGCATGAGAGTCCAGTGACCCAATACGACACCTATCCTCCTCCTTTTTTTTCTCATGAATATCTATCTTTCAGAGAGCTAATATTTCCTCAAATTCATAACCCTTCCTCACCAAAGAAAATGACCGAAAAAAAATAACATTGTAATCTTCAATCCTAGCCCGTTAACTTGGGGGAATGTTTGGAAAGTGAGTGGTCCAGGGGCTGCTTTCTATTCCCATAGGGAAAAAAACCACATTCATCCACTAGTTGAAATGGAAGAGGGCCATGGTCTCGATCTCTTCCCTAACCCATTAGTGGGATAGCAAAGGAAGTAGTAGAACTGAGGTTTTTGCTGTGAGCATCCCCCAAGTGTGTTTTTGATATGGTGCGTATTAGGAACTTGAGCTAAACCAAAACTTCTAATTGACATGAGCATGTGTAAACATCTGTTTTTAGCTGATTGAGAGCTCCCGCTCATTTGTCCAAACTGCTGGAGCCCCACATCAATGTCACAATCATTTTCGATCCAAAAAACTCAATAGATGCAAAAACAATAGTCGAAAAGGACCATCAAAAGGAAAGATGATTTTGTTCAGTTTGCAATTTTAGAAGATTGTAACAATTGACACTAACCGAGCTTCGCTAGAGGTAACAAAAAGAGATTAGAGAAAAAAGTTACATATGAATGGTGTAAGCCTGTAAGGTGATAAGGGAGTCCCTCACCGCCCTGAGGGTAACAATGTCGAAAAGGGACTGCTACACAACCAGCTCACACTCTCTAATATTGAGGGATTCTAGAGTTCTCTTAGTTTATTTCCTTTATTGTATAGGTCTATGGCTTGTTGGGATAACAATTTATAAGGGAAGAGATTGGCTTGGTGGTTGGGCCTGTAAGTTATTCAGAACTGATGTTCAATGTAGGATTTTAAACAAGATAACGTCTTGAAGAAAAAAACTTTAGGATATATATATATATATATATGCCGTCCTTGTCACCACCATGTTTTGAATGCATTTGTAACTTGCTTTCTGACAGAAAAGAGATTCCATAATCTAGATTAATCCACAACAGAACTAACTTACTGAAAAAAAAAAAAAGAGACAACGAAACCAATTTCTGGGATAAATTCATCACGACAGTTTTGATTGTGCAGTGTAGTAGTCTGGCTTCCTAATGAGGTTTAGAAGGTAGAAACCAATGCTTCCAGTTGACTGTTTACATCATTGAGTGTTTCTTTTTCTTTTTGCCGAAGGTACTGAGGGTTTTTGCACGAATGAATTCTTGTAATGAATTGAGATAGCACGGGTGAAACTATCCTGATAGACCTGAAATAAAGAATTAGAAAAGGGGCTGGGTGTGTATCTGGCTAATCTCTTCCAAAGCTCAAGTCAGTCATTGTTGGAGTCATGAGCACAATATATTCTCTATTTTTAAATTACGTACCTTGATCTAATTTTTTGAAAGATATTTATACCTGAATTTACAACGATGACATTGCTCTTGAGTCTCATCTTAGAATTTAATGTCCTGTACTCTTATTCTAGCAGAATAAAAGTTATCCCATCAAATCTTGTGAGGACTAATTCCCTCGGACAAGTGGACTTTAATTTGCTCGGGGACCGTCGAGCATTCATGGCTCATCCACTGGTCAATAAATACCTCCTTTTGGTGTCTTACACATACGGCCAAGAATTCATTAATCGGGAGCAAGAAATCTTGGGAATGACCAAGGATTTCATGTTAGCGCAATAACCATTAATGTCCTGTAATAATAACTGTTTTTACATTTGTCAAGGATCTGAACACTCATTAACAACTCTATTGTAGCCACTCAAGATCCATTAATGAATTGTCAAATTCCTTTTAATGTTAGGCTCTGAGGGCATACTCGGTCTTTCCTGTCATAACTCCTCGACACCTTTTTCAAACGTCTTTTGCTCTCTTTAACGACTGTAATTGTCCACGTGTCTATTTATCATTGTCGAGCCGCTTAAAGTCCCATCAGTTTTGATCCACGAGGAAGGGCAGAATGAGCCTCTGAGAGGCCACTCCAAGCCTCCCTAACGGACACTAGGTCCCCAATAATTGCTCTAAATCAGCACAATTTGTCGGGATTTGAAGCCATCAGCCACCACTAGGGTTGAAATAGGCTTTAACTAATGATCATATCATATGGTATAATCCATATTGTTCCATTATTAACGCAGTAGAACATAAATCAACCTCTTTGAATCCAATTAACCTTCATTTTCTTCTGGTATGCATAGCTTTATCCTTTCTTCTGGAAAAAAATACTGCCCTGCTGTGCTTTTGAATTGAGCTAGGTTGATAAATTACTTCAATGTCCCACAAGCTTTTCGATGTCGGTTGCTTCCTTCACTTCACTTTAGTCGCTTTCATTCACAGCATAATCATATATAAAAGAAGATGATTAATTTACACTAGGGCCAATGGCGGTCCCGTCGCCATTATCTCTTTACAGAATTTATCTGAAGCAAAATACTAAGATGAAGACCACCTAAACTATACATTTTGCTATATATTATGTATAGAACTATAGATATACTATATTGTATAAGCATGTTTCAGAGGTTGATTTCATCATATTGGAGTTTCAACTAAGAAATCTCACTGGTACAAAAGTTAGATTAAGAAACCAAATAAGAATTTCTTGACCAATAGCTTGTACTAACGTTCTTGTCAGTTGAGCATAGCCATATCATTGTCGGCTCAATCACAGGAAACACTAATCTTGCTGATTTGCACCGAAAAGGAAACAATAAAAAGTTTCGTGCTCTTAATTTTATGCACGAAATAATTAAGGATGGCTCCACTCTGGTATGATCAGCTGCTCGCCATTAACATTTTTTAAGCCTTTTAAAACAAAGAACAGTGACCACTGACGAGGCTGTTTGATAAATAAGACATTGCTAAGCTTTGTTGGTGAAGTTCTTCCTTAACTAGACGACAATTAAACCATGATTTAGGCATTAAATAATTCAATGATTTAAGTAATTGTGGGCCTATATTGTCTTGAATGTGATAGTAGTAGGTATTGATGACGAAAAAACAGAGTCTTGATGACATAATAACAGAGTTTGAGTCACCGTTTATCTCACTCGTATGATTGTGTACGAGTAATGTTATTGAAACCTTAAAATTTTATTTAATTTATAAATCTAATTTATGATGTGAAATAGATGGTATGTTCTTATATTATTCTTAAAACTATAACTATTAAACTTCTTTATTTGAAACACCAATCATTTGATAAGTATATCATGTCATATATTTAAGTCCTAATTGTTTGCTTGAGGGACGGAGAAGATTGTAGAATCACACGAATTTTATAGGTGTTTCAACTACACAATACACTGAAAAAGTAAACAAACAAGTGTGCTTAATGAAATTCAAACATTGTGAAAAATACAATCTCAAGCGCGTGGTTCAAGTGGTAACAAGAATGAGCTGTAAATCACACGTCTTGAATGTAAATCTTGACAATTCATTAGCGTCAAACTATAAGGAATTTATTGCTTTTGAATACCCTAATCTCGACATGGATAACCTTTGATCGGATCAGGGAGGGAATTAGTCGATGTGTGTGGAAGTTAGCCCGAACATTAGCGTTGAACATTCCTCACCGTTGAAAAAAAAAGTACAAGAAAAAAAATACATGTGTGAGCAGACTAAGAAGGAGAAGGAGCCAACTCAGAAAGACCCAGTGGAGGAGAACTAAAGTGAGGAAGCAAACAAGGAATGAAAGTGTATGTCGGCATGAAAGGGCAATTTATTGGTTGAGCAAAGAAAGCCACGCATTCAGCCACGGATCTTTGTAGTGGAAGACCAGGAATGCAATTCTTCCCAACATCAAGTACTCCACTCAAAATCAACTTCCTACACAGTGGCCCAACTTGTATGAAATAATTATCAGACAGTGATAAATTGACCAAATTTCCCAGTGCACACACCACGTCCGGCACCACACCAAACAAGAAGTTCCCAGCAAAATTCACCACCTCCACATTTTCCAGGCAGCCCAATGAGAATGGGATCGGACCGGTTAACTGGTTGTTGCCGACGTCGAACACTGCGGCCTGTTTCAGAAACCCTATCTCATATGGAAGACAGCCGCTTAGCATGTTGTTTAGGAACAGAACTTCACTCACAGTGGACAAGGATTTAGGAAAGCTTCGTGGGATTGGGCCGAAGAATTTGTTGTTGGCTAAGGTAAGATAAAGGATATGGCTGCTGCCTATATTATCAGGAAGCTTTTGCATGAAATTATTGTTGTTGATGAAGAGAACATCAAGATCTTTCATGAATAACTGTGGTGGGACTGACCCTGTGAAGAAATTGAACCGAATGTCCAAGAAAGATAGACTGTTCATGCCTAGAATAGCAGTTGGAAATGACCCGGAAAACTGGTTGTTACTTATATCTAGCTCATAGAGATATGGAAGGTTTGAGATTTTGGGTGATATTGTGCCAGAGAAATTGTTGGAATTTGCATGGAAGAGAGCAATATCGGGTAGCTGATCGAGAAAGCCATCGAGGGTTGGGGCAGTGAGATGAAAGCCATTGAAATCAACGGAGGCAAGAGCAATGGCTGTTTTGTTGTCTGGGGGGGTATCACAGTAGAAGCCTTTGTAGTTGCATATGTCTGAGCCTAGCCAGGACTTGGTGATGCCGAGAGGATCTGAGGTGATGATGCTCTTGAATTTCTGGATAGCAGGGTACACCACAGCCAGTCTTTGATCAACAAAAACCAAATTTTTTGGAGGAGGAACTGGTGGTACTGCCGGTGGTGGTGGAGGGTGTGGAGGGCGTTGAGATGTAAGAGGTGGAGTACTGCAATATTGATTGTTGCAACCACCACCTCCAACGCCGCCAATGATGAGATGAGGTGCTTCTCTGTTGGTGCCAGTTTCTCCCAGGACATTGATGAAAAGAGAAACAAGAATGAAGCTGAATATGGGTATTAAGAACTTGATAGAGATTCCACCCATTTTATTTGCTCTCTGTTCTCATTACCAAAGCAACAAGAATAAAATGCAGAAAATGAAGAAAGAGAATAGAGATCATCGTAAAAAAGAAACTAAGCTCTTTAATAGTGATTTTGGACATCATTAATATGTAAGTCTTTGACAACAGTCTATGAATTTTTTTTTAAGTCCAAAACAGTTTGATTTGCGTTCCCTTTAGTTAAAGATACGAAGAGAACTCCAATTGGTAGTTCGGATTTTGATAATTTTTGAGATTAGACCATACTGAATTTATCATTTATGAATATTTTAGTTTTAACGTGAATGATTTATCTTTGATCAAATCGAAAAAAAGATTAGTTGAAGTGCATGTATGAATTCAAATACCCTAACTGTTGAACCCAAAAAAAAAAGATGAAAATGACGTTTATTATACTTTTGGACTTTATTGTATCTATTTTGTTACTGGATTGCAATATTTTTTGGCTACCACATCGTGTTATATATTTTATGGTATGGTTAATTATTAAAGCCATCCAGCTAGCATCATGCTTTCGTATAAAAGTAGTGTCCATGGCGAGGGAGGGACCAGCCACATAAAGACCATTTGAACAAGGGTATTTGTAGCTTGGAGTGGCTGGGGACAAATCATCGATATCTCAACGTACAAGATAAAATTGCGTACGCTTTTTTCTTCCCAAACTTTATAATAATGAGAATCTTAAAGAAAAGCCCATAATTTATGGAAAAAAGGACAAGAAAACCTTGTTACACGAGTAAATATTCAATACAATGATAATACCATGTCAACATTGTTAGTTGTCACTTGGTATCACCGGTCAATTATAAAACATCAAATGAGAAAGGTGAATCCCACTTAGATAATAGTTATTGATTTACATGGGAGAGTGGATAGTTATTAACTTATATGGAGGGGTAGTTATTAATTTGTGTGAAGTCTATTTTCTTATTTGTTTACATATGATTTGGTAATACTATGTGACAATGTTGATGTGGTATCTGTGCATTTTTTGAATTCCAATTTCATTGACTAGCATTACCTAATAAATAGATCGAAACGAACCCAATTTTTCATAAATGTGAAAAATCAGTATGGTTTGAATTAATTGTTAATACAAGACATCTTAAAAATGACATAAACTCAGGAATGACTCAACCTATTGAGCAATGCTCTATTATAACATAATTTATGGACATAACGATTAAGATGGTTAGATTATTGGTGAGTCCCAAGATTAAATGCAAGTATCAATTCAATTGTCACAATACATTATGTCCCAATAACAACATTAATGGGTTGAGAATTAGGCTCATTAGGGGCGTCCATGAGCTGCTCCAGGTGCAGCCCGGGGAAAAAATTTGGACTAGGTACTCCCATTAAGCTTGCCCAATATAGCTTGTGGGCCTGTCCGGGTCAGGATTGGGTACGGAGTTATATGCGATATCCCAACCCATGGCTCATACCTCAGTTTATCGGACAGGTCATGTGCTGAGGCTGAGCTTTTCCTTTTTATATATTTTTTTTTGCTAGAGAATGTTCACTTATATAACTCAGGATTTTCGGGCCACGTAGGCGCGGTGTATTTCGGGCTTGCATCGAGCTTGGGCTGGGAGAGCCTGTTTTTGGGTCATATTGGACTGTGGGCTAGATGTCTAAAGATGAACCACAACTTTTTAAGTTGTTTGTAATGTCTCTAGCAACAAAAATATCACTTTGGACAAATATAAGAATCCGAAAACTTATATAGCAATATGTCAAACAACTATAGGGATGTTTTCTATACTCTTGATAAATTTTCAAAAGGTGTAAAAATAATTTATTCCTTGTTCTTCTTTAATCTTTTTAGTTAAGCCGTAGTGATCGGACATGTCGTGTATCATCACTAGTGGCAATTCTAAATTTCTTCCGTGCCAAGCAAAACATTAAAAGTATGATTGAAGATTGACTTCAAAGGCTTTAGTTGATGAAGCATCTTAGAATCTTCGACCTCTATCCATTCATCTATAGTAAATACACACAAATACAATGACATTAGTATTTACATTTGGTACATATTTAACTTTTTTGAGTGGCTCCCATTGTGCATCACTATCAACCCCAAGAGTCAACCAAACAGGTCATGCAAATCCACTAAAAAAAGGCAAACATATTAAAAAAATGAAAGAAACAAGCTCGTTTCTAGAAGAAGAGACACCAAATTAGGTGAAATTGAAGCATATATTATTGCCCACATTGTTAAAGTACTCGACTCAAATTAGAGAGGACTACAAACCTTGCATATTTATTACTATTTTGCCAATATGAATTAGTTTTAAAGTTTTCTTACACGTACGGATAAAAGTGATTTATTTTATATATGTCTACGTAAAAGATTCTTATAATCGCTCTTTGTTGTTATTCTACTATTTTAATACATCGAGCATAAAAATTAATTTATAGTGAGTGGAGGCACTCACAAAATTTGTATATTGTTAGAAAAATATTGTTCTGTTGATAAACAGTAAGCTATAACCAACGGGCCTTTAGTCTAATGATACTCCTTTTTTTGTGAAGGTTTTGTTTTCTTAAAATTAAGGATTCAAACCCCATTCCCCCCTTCCCATCAAAAAAAAAAAAAAAACAGATGAACAATAAGTCGTAATATTTGCCCGCTCTAGAAGCTCATCTCCAAGTGGAGAAGAGCCACCAAGTTAGGTGTAACCAAAACTATTATAGTTCCCATCGTTGTTAAAGTACCCAACCAAAGTAAGAGGTTTGTAACACTAATGTAGTAGTTTACAAAATGGTACTCTTATAGACTTGAGACAAATTTTAAGACATGTACTTACATACTAGTGAAAAAGTTGTAATTTTTGTCATGTGAGACAAGCTCTTTGCATCCTCTTGCATGGTAATTCAAGATGAATCTAAATTGTCCTAGCGTGGATGACCTATCTTTAATTAAATTAGAGAGGAAATTAGTCGAGAAACACATAAACTGACCTGAACTCCCTTGATCGTTGAACTTAAAAAAAAACCCGTAATTTCATGTGACCTTACATTACCTACCTTAAAAGAGTGGAAGACCCACTTATGCATAATGTGCTACGTTTGAATTAATAATGGGTGATCTTGCATCGAAAACAATTAAGAACAAGCGAGTTTAAGGAGAACTTAGTTTGTGCATGATGTATTCCTAGCTTAAAAAACCTCATGTAGCACAAATTTGACATCATTACGAAGCTTTCAACTCCAAATCACCTAGTGATGGTGGGGAAGCCCACAAGACTTCTATATTTATTTGAAAATGTAATTTTGTCGATGTAGGATAAGGTGCAATACATACCCCTGCTCAATTAATAGTCATGTTCATAGATATTCATAAGTCTTGAAGTCTAGAAGATCAACAAATTGAAATGATTGTAACACAAATATTAAGAGTTTTTACCTTGAGAAGATGTCGAGTTTGTTTTTTACAAAAGAATTTTGATTTACGTGATACCCATGATTTACAAGTGATGATACATATTTAGAGCTGACATTGTAATTGCAAATTCAATCAGAGTTGGATTGAGATGATTATTTGTGTATGTATACCAAAGAAAACCATTCCTATATTTGAGCTTTGAACTTGGAGAGGAAAAAAACAAAGGACATTTATTATATTGAGGAGGCATATCTGCAACCCTGGCACATGGGATCCAATGATATAAGCAAAGAATAAAATCCTTCCTTTGATTTGAGACAATAGATTAAAGGAAGGAGAGAACCAACCCCTTTCATTTTCGTTTAACTGTTAGGAGTGTTCGAATTAGAAGTAGGTTATTCACACTGAAATTATGATATTTATAAGATATAAATCATTTATAGTCTAGTCTAAAAAAATTATCAAAATTCGAATTTAAAATATTAAAATTTAAAATTCATCTTTCTTATCACTTGAACTCCTTGAAATTATCTAGACCCAATCCCACCGCCTCTTTTGACTTCCCCTTCTATTTGCACATTGTAAGCAGGTGTGTCAATCGCAAACCAACATGTTTACATCGAATACTACTCCCAAATCCAACATGATCTCATCCTCGGTAATAATATACAAAAATTCAACTAATTCCATAACACCCACCCCCAAAGTCCATCCTCTCTCTCTCTCTCTATCACACACACACACACACCCATTACCCATCACCATTAAAATAAGTGGGTGTAAGTCGCCAACGGTACAATACACGAAACAACGTCATTGAACTATAACAAATTGACATATTTCCTTACAACTCTCTATAGACTATACCGTTCTATGATTGAAATGAGGAATAATATATATATATATATATATATATATCATTAGTGGAAATTCGAACAAGCAAAAGTTGACACCCTTGCAAGAATCACCACCATATATAATTGAAAATGGAAATCCACATCACCACATAGAACATTATTAAACGGAGCAAAAAAGTCCACCACTCGCGTGATTCATTTCCCACCAAATCCACAATTTCTTCTCCTTTCTTTTCATTGTCTAAAGAGACTAACAATGACTAAGATGATCAGATTAAGATGATTCAAGGACGATTGGACAGCTAGTGCCTCTAGAATGAGAAAATATTTGGTGCTTATAAGTCATCAAAGTGACAGTGTCGTGTCATGATTAAAATCAATGAGAAATTATCAATTAAGAAATTAATTAATTAAAGAAGAGATGAGTTTTGGTATCTACTTATAGAATGATTATAATACATATAGATTGTTTACGATAACCATTAACCACCATCAACAACATCTGTCACCATCCATAATTATCTCATCATAAAATAGTATTATTATTCAATTTTTTTTCCCAAATATGAGTCATAACCATCTATAATTTTGTCTTTAACTACGTTTAACCACCCAAATGTCTTATTTAATCACATTTAACCATCAAAGTTTATCTATTTCAATATCTTTTTTTTTCTTTTTCTATAGTTAGTGAAAAAGACATTACAGATTATGTGCTGAGTGGGTTTAGATTCTAACACCAAAAATACGGAAACTACAGCATAAACTCACCTTGGATGTGGGGGCACCTTTGATGGGCTTTTGACTATACTTTCTCCAGCTGAAATCATCCGGTGACCACTAAGTTGGGATGGTCTAGTAAAATATTGATCGAACTTTTCATCTTGATTTTCTAATCAAAACACTAAAAACCCCAAAGTCTCAGGCAATCGAAGACCACTCCCAGGCGACCCTGTGCTACTCTTGGCAGCCATGCAGCCCATCAAACTGCACTTCCTCTCGAAAGAAGATGAAGAAAGAGGCGGTGTACGGGCCGTTGAGACCAGTGACAGATTTGTAATCTGAGGCCCAGATGACATTGAATGCTGTGAACTCTCGGTTGCGCCGATGAAAGATGACATGAAACTTGAAAGTGTTCCCAGACAATGAGGAAGTAAAATTGATTGCAGTCAAGAGTCAGGGCAGCAACTGATGGTGGATTGCAAGGAAGAGAATGGGATATGTTGAAACAATTTCAAAATTATTTGAATTATCATATCAAATATAAATTTCAAAATTTTTAACTTTACTAATAATATTTTATGAATATAATAAACTAAAAAATTATATGAGACCATAATAAAACTCAAAAAAATGGAAAGAAATCTCATAAATCCAACTCCTTGAATCAGTCTAAATAAAAAAAAAATTGGATCTAAAGAACTGCTGCATAAGCTAGGAAAAAAAAATACCAAATGGACCTACCTTATTTGAATTTAAAATTCTTAAAAACTACCTATTCAAGCTAGCAAAGAGACTAATATATTTGAAAAAAAAAAAAGAGAGAGAGACTAATATATAGCTTGGAATTGAAATTGGAATAAGCAAAAGTGGTCAACTTGACAAGGATGAAGTTAAGTATAATGGTCTCTGCATACACCACAAGGTTACCAAGCTTCAGAAGACCATTTCTAATTTTGAGTTTTCAACACAAGGGAAATGAAAATAAAGGGATTAAATTCTTAATTTATTTATGAAAAGAATAAAACCTTCGCATAACCTCCACAATAACAAAAAACAATAGTAATAAAGTCCGTTTTAATAAAATTAAATACAAAATTCTTATGTAAAATACTTGAAATTAAGCAATATACAAATAATAGTGTACTAAAACATGAATAATAATAATAAATATATATATATATATATATATATATATATATATATATATATATATATATATATATATATATATATAAACTTGTCAAATGAAGTGACGGCCAATTGATTTTAGAACACATTGCTACCTTTTAATACGATTGATGATACAATAAGAGCATTTAAAATTTTCAGGGTATAAATTTAAAATTTTCTTATTCATAAGAAAACAAAAGGAAAAGTTATTATTATTGGGGAGGCATATTTGCAACCCTGGCACATGTCACCAGATACAGTGACAAGAATTTATAGCAAATTCCCAAGATCACTACTTGACAAATTGCATAATGTAAGAAGTAAATAATAAAGGGTAAAAAATAAAAAATCCTCTAAAACTAAGTTTCCATATCACTTTCCCTCCTTATAATTTTACTGGTTGTACTTAATCCCTTTAAATTTGTGAATAAACTGTAAATTTAATAAAATCATTTTATTATTATGGCAAAATAATTACATGCGTTAATTAAGTGTATTTCATAAAATAAATAAATTTTTTTCTAAATTAAAAAATTAAATTATCAATTCTACCCTTCATCTTTCTCTCTCTCTCTCTCTCTTCAGACCTAGAAATTTATTTTGACCCATCAAATGATTCACTTTCTCAAATCTGAGGTCATTTTTAAATTTTTTGACTCTAAATTAGTTAGATCCAATCCTTTTTAAAACTTTAATAAGTTCTTCAAAATTTTGATTTTCATAATACAACTTAAGCTTCAATTGAAAAAAAGATGGTCGTTTGCTATTTAACCTATTTAAAAATTTATAAGCACTTTAAACTACAAACACAAATTTGAATACACACACGATATGAAACTTAAATCTAATCACACTAACAAAACCCTTAGAGGAAAAATAAGTCTAACCAAGTTGAATTTATGTATTATAAGCATTTGAATTAAAAATCCGAAATTCTTTCTCTTTTTTTTTCTTCAACCTCGTTGTCTTTCTTCTCCCTCTCTCCCCTCCCCCTTTTTGTTCAGGCCTTCTACACAACTTGCACAAGAATTTGTGAGGTGCAGTGATGGGGTGCTTCCATAGTGGTAAAAGAGTGCTGGTTGTGGGTTTTTTTTTGTTTCTTTTAAAATGAGGGTTCTATAATGATGGTATCACCCAAAAAAAAAAAAAGATTACAATCAGAAATAATTTAATTTTTTTATATAAATTATAATATCTGTTTAACATTTACAGTTTATTTATAAGTTAGAGAGAGCTTAGTAAAACTTGTAAAAATATAAGAGGTAAATCGAAGTTTTGATTACGTTTTTTTTAAAATAAATCTCTGTCTGCATAGCAATTCAACCCCCACCGCCCTTTTTGACTTTCCTCTCTATTTGCTCATTTTAAGCATGTGGGTCCGTGATATTCTATTATTTCAAAAGTCACCCAAACCCACCTCTACGAATGTAATAGTACTCCCAAATCCAACCATGATCTCAACCTTCATCATAATATACAAAAAAAATCCATCCAAATCCATAATGACCCACCCCCAAAAGTCTAGAACTCTCTCTTCTCTCTCACACACATATAAAAATCCACCCACCCATTGGCCATCACCACTAAAATAAGTGGTCTAAGTTGACAACCATCCCACACACGTCACATTTTCATTAAATTATAGCAAATTGACGGATTCTTTACTTCTCTACCCATATCCTATAGCATTCTATAATTGAGTTGAGGAATAATATTATAGCTTCGAGTGGAAATTGGAACACGCAAAAGTGGACAACCTTATAAGAACCAAATGATAAAGAAGAGGAATATATAAGACTTTGAACGACAAAAAAACCACTATTTCCATGATTCAATTCCCACCAAATCCACGATGTGCTCTCTTTTTTTCTTTTCTTTTTTAACTTTTTCCAAAGTGAATAACAAGTTTTCAACGGCACAAAGAGGTGGAAGAGAGAGAAAAGAAATAAAGTAATGGACAGCGTTGACCATTGAGTTGTGTAAATGCTAGTACTACTTGATTCTCCCCTCCCCTCTCCTCCTTTCCTTTACTTTGTCCTGGAGATAAAGATTGTCCTTTTCTTCTGGTGGGTAAGATTTCCTCTGGGCCGTTGGATGATGGGAATGATCAGATTAAGATGATTCAAGGATTAGAGACGCTGGTGCCTCTGAAACAGAGTGGGAGTGATTATGTTCAGCCTCATAGGTGACAATCAACATGGCTGGATCATCCGGTGCTCTCTCCACATGCTTTCGTGCTGGGCAACCTCTCACACTACTGCACTTATAATATCCCCTGAAATTGAATCAAACAACACCATCAGGGTAAGATAAAATGTAAAAAATTTGATCCCTAAACAATAGATATCGAACCTAAATGTTTAGAATTGATCCTAAACAATCGAAGTTTATTGTAACTTTACCAAATTAGATCAAAAAGTCTCCATTGTTTTATACTTGGTTGATATTGAATACCCCACATCACAATATGTGTAAAATCAATACCACATTAGTTCTACAGACAATAATACAGCAGGTGCCACGGATAAAAATCTCCAATTCTGAGTGAGTTGTCGACTCAGTGAGTCAATTAGCGATGGCAAGCAGGACATGTGATAAATCAAAAATGCAAAGCAGAGGATGTGTGTTAATGGGTTTACAACGTAAACACACCTGGGATGTGGGGAACCTTTGATGGGCTTTTGACCATACTTTCTCCAAGAGTAATCATCCGGTGGAATATCAGCCATCTTCATGCTTATAGCCGGCACTCTCAACACTCTCTTCACCTTTGATTTCCTAATCAAAACAATCAAAACCCAAAATTTTCAAATCAGTAAAAGCTCATGTCCACAAAATCATATCAAATAAGGATGATGATGACGGTGGTGGTGGGTGGGTGTACCTTTTCTTGGGGCAATGGCACCTCCCAGAAGACCCAGCGCTACACTTGGCAGCCATATCGTCCATTGAACTGCACTTCCTCTTGAAAGAAGACGATGAGAGAGGAGGCTTACCGGCCGATGAGACCTGAGACAGATTTGTAATCTGAAACCCAGATGACATTGAATGTTGTAAACTATCGGTCTCGCCGGTCAAAGATGACATGAAAGAGTTCCCAGGCGAAGCGGAAGCAAAATTGATTGTAGTCGAGGACTCTTTTCTCTCGATTGGTCCATTTTTAAGCAATTGATGGTGGTTGTGAGGAAGAGGAGGGAGGCGTTGAATCGGCATCGGACAATAAACCCTAGAGCTAGACCCACCCGGGATTATTAGCTTCTCCTCCACCGTTTGACGGTGGTTGGTGGTGGGTGGAACAACTGGCTCAGATTCTTTTGTGATGATTTTCTGTTGCTGTTGTTGTGGAGGTGGGTTTGTCACCGGACCTCTGCGGAACCGAGCGTGACCGGTTCTGGTTCGATCGAGAACTGAAATGAACTTCTTGAACTTGTTAACTGCGACATCGGCAACAGCCCTGTAATCTGTATTAGCATCCATGGAGGTGGGTCTAGGGTTTGAAGAAGAAGAAGCAGAAGAACCCTGATGATGTTGATGTTGTTGGGATTGAGAGAGCAATCTGATGAGCTTCTCGACGCTCTGAAGACCTGCGGTGGCTGCTTCTTGTGCAGCATTCTCTTCCATTTTGGTGATAAAACCGTCGTTTCTGTAACCATTAGTCATCAATTCAACAGCCATATCTGCAAAACCATCAAAGAAAACCCAGAAACATACAAGAATCTGAGAAAGTGAATAGTTTTGCAAGAGAGAGATTGGGAAAAAGAGCAATAGTTCAGAGAGAGAGAGAGAGAGCAAAGATGATAAAAATGGAGAGTCAAACTGATGGCTTCTCTTTCTCGCAATTTATATTTTGGGAGAGCGACAATGTAAGTACTTTGACCATGAGAGAGAGATTCAGAAGTCAAAAGATGGGAATGAGCCGTTGGATCAATGCCTAGGTAAAATCGTGGGTAGGGTGCGTAGGTTATAGGTTGGAGCCAGTGAGGCAGAGTTGACCTTTTAACAGCTTTTAAGGCAAAAGTCCAAAGTTAGGGAAGGGGTGTGGGACCCAATAAGCATTGTCTTTACCGGACACCGGAAGGTGTGGTGTTGTCAAAGTTTGAATAGGATTGAATTGAATCCACAAAGTAGGATAAGTCACATGGGATTCTTTTCTTTCATCAAGGAAGAGAACGACGTTTTGTTTTGTTCTCCTACGGTTGAGAATGGCATCATGGATGGTGAAATCTAAGATCTGTTTTTGACCGTAGATGTTTTGAACAATGATCATCAAACCTCATTGCCAAACAGCATGTGACCCGTTTTGGTTTTTACTTTGGACACCACAAAAAACCCAAAAAAAAAAAAAACAATTGCCTTGTCCGCATGAAAAAGTACAAGAAATAATGTCTTGGAATCTTAAATTCATTATCTGTAAGTTATTGAATCAAAAGATACGATGATCAAATTTACAATATAGTTATGATCATAGGTGTTTGACTACAAAAATTAGTATATCGAGATCACAAATTCATGTTTGAATTGTAATTTATTACATATATCTCAAATTTTGTTATATATTCATGGATTTAAAGAATACATACCTAAATGATTCTTAATTATGATTTTTAAGAAAAAGGAAAGAAGTAATTTGAAATTTTTTTTTTTTGTCTCTAGTCCAGTCAAAAGTATGTTATTTACGTTGAAATTAAAAAATTAATTTAATTTCAAAGAATTATCAAGATTTAAACTCAAGACTTTTAAGTTTACAGTTTATTTTTATTACCATTTGAGTTATTCCACGGGAATTAAAATTTAAAATCATTAAAATGGTGTGAATACCTTAAGGCATTAACTCTTGTTTCATTCAATTCACCGTATGGAGCACTAACCTCGTATTAAAAAGTCAAAGTCTTGCCTTAAGTATGAAGATTGCAGCCATGTAATAACTGTTGCAAAACATTTTGTGGAAGTTTGAGGTATTCTATTTCTACAACAAAAGATGCTAAAGTCATAGTCATAAGCAAATGCTTTCTGTTATTGGATGCCTCTTTATTGACTATGGGTCTAAAGCAAGTTTTAGGTTCCCAAGCGCATTGCTGGCCATAAAACAGTGTAGAAGATGATCTTGATCTTGAAATGAACATCTAACGGTGGGAAATAAACTGGGTGGCCCGTTCTCCCGCCCAACGAGAATGGTCCGGGTCAGACCGCACCTGGGTAAACTGTAGGATTTACTTGTAGCCCGACTTACACGTCCACTCCAAAAGTTAGATTGTGGATCTCGTAAAGACTTAGAACAATGAGATAAAAAGCGTCACATCCCAACGACTCTCAATCTACCATGAGAATCCAATGGCCAAAAATCAAAATTTTTGACAAAAAAAAAATTCCCTCAAAGACTTATCCAAGGTATTTATTTTATTATAGAATATTCAGGCTTGTGCTCACTATTTTTTTCTAACTCGGACCTAACCCTAAAGATTCGGGTCAATTTAAACCACTATATTAACTTTATCGAAGGTGTTGCATTCTAAGTTTAATGGCTAAATGTAAAACAAAAATGATGGATGGAATCAAATGTTCATTCCTAACTGTTTTCAATGCTAAAAATAGGATATAAAAGTCTCACAAGTAAACCAACAATAATGTTAAACAAAATCTACGTCATTAAGTAGGTAGAACAGTCCATGGAAACTAAGATATAATCATATCAACAAGCCATACTAACCTTCAGCAATTATTTCTATCTAAGAAACAAGGAAATACACTGAATAAACTTTTAACTTTCAAATCATCAACTGATATAAGGACAAAGATATAATTTATATCCCAATAGCAACAAAAGAAAAACCTTAAAACATAGAAGTAAGAGGGTTTCACAAAACCTGATTGATAAGGATGAGTGCAGCCAAGATTTGGAGTTTGCAGATATGATCTGTGCCTCTTTTCATTGTTACCAGTTTCTGTGAAAGCATACATTGGAAAAACAAAACTACTCTCAAAAGTCAAAACTGCTACAATGAACAGTGATTGTGTGCGTGCCTATGTATATATAAGATAATAGAAGGTTTTTAGGCAAGAAAATCAAGTAGAGAGATATTGTTCCCCCATAATTTAGAGATTAGTCAAATGATGTGAAAAATAACTTAATGCTCCTTTTGGTAGGGAGGATGAAAAGTATGAGGGATATACTCTCTATCCTTCAAGGAAGAAAAGTAAAAAAGATATAATTTCCTTCTTTTGTGTTTGGTTGGATGAATGAAAAATAAAAATGACTATTTTTTTTTTTTTTTTGTGTTGGCTAAGATTAAGGATGACAATAGAGTCGAATCGTGTCGTGTCAAATTTGTGTTGAGTCATTACGAGTTTATGTCGAATATCAGTCAAACCTAATTTAACTCATTTAACTAATTGTGTCGTGTCAAGTTACGAGTTGACTTATTTATTTTTGTATCGAGTTCGAGTCCTATCATCTTGTTGGGTAGAAAATTTTCAATGAAATTTTTTTTTTTTTTTTTTAAATTTTAAATTTTTTAAATTTTAAATTTTTTAATTTTAAATTTTTTAAATTTCAAATTTTTTAATTTTAAATTTTTTAAATTTCAAATTTTTTAATTTTAAATTTTTTAAATTTTAAATTTTTTTAAAATTAATTTTTAAAAGTTTTTAAAATATATATACATATTTTACCATTATATTTTTATATGAAATTAATGTATACATAAGATATATAGATAAATAAAATACATCTTAATACAAATAATTAACTTTCCATTTACTTTCCTTCCGATTTTGGAGAGATTGATTTTGGTGAGTTGGAAGGAAAGTTAATCTATCCACTTTTCCATCCTTCTTACTTTCCTTCCTTACCAAACATAATGTTTTATTTATCTCTTTAACTTTTTATCCTCCCACTTTTTCAACGTACCAAACGGAGCATAAGACAAAGAAGATTTGAATAAATTCCCCATTACATGCTTAGTTTAATTTCCCATTTTAAGCCACTTTAATTAGTTTTGTCCTTAATAATAATTTTGTTCTAAGCATCTTTTCTCTTTATCAATTGATCATTGGACATGTTCAAAAAAAAAAAATTGATCATTCGACGACTAGTGAGCTTTATTAATCTAAGAACCTTCCGTGTGAAATTAGTAAAAAAAATGACAAGTGTTATAGAACATTGTCGCTCAACAATAGCCATTATTGTGAGTAAACAAGAGTCAAATATAAATTTTAGGGATGGTTTATTAGTTGAGTTTGACTTTTAGTAATCCAGAAGTTTAATTTCTTTTCCACATCTCTTAAGGGTTAACCACTATTATCCCTAAAAAACATGCTCTATCTTAACTCAAGTGACACCTTGTTGCAAAAAAAAAAAAATTAAAGTCAATTATACAATACACAGTTTATGTTGAAATAAAAGCAATTATAGAACCATATTAGTTAGAAGGTTCTTTGAAATGAAAAAACAATTGTAGAGCATTAGAAGGACACTACAATAGCCAAAAATAAAAAATAAAATTAGAAGGATACTACTACAAAAAGAAAGTCAACAAGAGAAAAGGGTAATTGAACAACTCAGGCGTAGGGGACTTGGTCTTTGGAAACCTATTGGCCGTGAAAATAAGAGTCAAAACCTATTAATAATATTCCCTTCCTTCACTCAATTTGACATGAATGTTTAAGAAACATATATTGGTTACTAAAAGTTATTCTCCCGTCCTTAATTATCTGTTATTTTACCTAATTTTTTTTTATTCTACAATATCTGTCGTTTTATGAAATCAACACATAATTAATATTTTTTCTTTCAAATTTACTCGTATCTCTGTTTTTCAATAAGTGTTTAATAGATTAAGTGTTTTTTATATTCCTTTCCTTTCCAATACGTATTGAATAAGCGTATTTTTATCTTTTTGTAATTATTTTTTACTCATACTAGAGCTATTTAATAACTTCCTTAATTTCCGTGTAAAAACCTTAAACGATATATATTTAAGAACGGAGGGAGTAATTCATGCACGTATCATTCTAGAGTCATTTAGTTAAAATTGCCCTTATCCCATGGCCTCCTCTTCCTAATTGGCTCTGGTCAACCATTTGGGGAAATGAAGGCTGTTGATTCTAATGTCAAGGAATATTCGTGTTTTTTTTGACAAAACTCAAGATTTGTGAAATATTTACTATTGATTTTATAAATTTCTACCAGAAAAATACACTGGTGTTAATGCTGAATTAAACGCTTGAATTTCATTTTGTATCCTCTTGACGTTTATCATGATAAGATATTCACTCATATGTTCTAGGGGCTAAGGAGAAAATTTTGTATGGGTTTAACAACCCCCCCCCCCCCCCCCCTCTCTCTCTCTCTCTCTCTCTCTCGTCTACTCTTCTACTATCGTCTTCTTCAACATACTTTTCAAGGCCAAGATGATTGATAAGACTCTAGCAAACGGCCCATGATCTACAGGCCGAAACAAAAGCCTGCTGGCTCTCCGGAAAATGGGCCAGCTCGTCAGCAACACTAAGGCTTGTGGATGGCCTATTGGCCCGGAAATTCAGCCCATGAGCCTTCTTTTTGCCCACCCTTTCTGGATCCACATTTCATTGATCCAAATAACTAATTTTATTATTATTTTAATTTATTTAATGAAGTGGTTGCTATTCATTTAAAGGCCATTAAAACCAAAGAGATGGATATTTGACAGATTCAGTGTTAAGGTCGTTGCATGGTGGGCCAGCCAAACCCATAGGGTGGAAGTCGGCCATTGTTTGGGTCAGGGAAATTGCATCGTGGGTCAGCCCAAACA